TGAACTCAGGACCTTTGGAAGAACAATCTGTGCTCTTAACCTCTGAGCCTCTCTCCAGCCCTTTTGTTTCAATTCTTGCTGAAAAGTAGGCAAATTGATTTTTCTTAAGTGCCTACGCACACTTTGGAATTAGCGTAGCATATATATTATAAAACAAGAATAGTGCCACGGACCGGCTCAGGGGAGCCACTCAGACTGTGGGAGAAGCAGGGTCTTGGTAACAGGAAGGCACAAGTTTGGTGAATGACAGACAGACACAACACACAAGGGAGTGATTGGTATCTGCTGCGATTTTACTGAATTCATGTTTTCGTTATATAGCATTCAAACAAAGAACAAATCAGAAAGTCATGTATCATTGGTTGGCACAGTATGAAAGCTTCTTTTAGTCACATCAGCAATATTTAAGAAAAGCATATTATCAGGGACAGGTGTTAGACATAAAACATCCTTAGGAGAGGAACTCTTGTCCTTGGGAACGTAAATCTCAGACAAGTGGTTTCATCTTAAGAATAGAAAGTTTCTGTCTCATTGTCGCTATCATGGACCTTCCTCTTCCTAACCCTTTATTTCATCTAGTGACCAAATATACCTAATCAGTTCTCTGCACCTGCTGAAATACACTTTTTAGTACCTTCTTATGCAGCAGACACTATGGGGGTTGGGATCTAGCAAGCCTATCCATAAAGTTCAAAGTATAACACTCTTTGTCCATCAACATTAACCCATCTATTCCCTTGCTCATCATACACTCCGTGTATGACAAGGGTTCTGCTGTAGTCTTATACATTCCCATACTTTGCTTCCCTATCCCAGAGCTGTTCCTGAAGAGATAATCCTTGTCTTGTAGATATATAGAATATTATTATTATAAAAGAGATTGTGCAAAGCCCATATCCCGCATAGCCAGCTAATCGAGAAACCCGTCTATGCCTCAAGGGCAGCCAATACCGGGCTGTCTTGATCTCCAGGAAGCCTAGTCCCATCTGGCATAATGACATATGTCATGTCACACAGACGACACTGGAGTTGGTGTGGCAGAATAGAAAAATGAAAATTATGGGAAAGGGAACAGAAGTGTTACTGTTTCTGTTTCTTTCTTCTCTGAGTATGTGCTAAACTTCTCAACACTGAATACTCCTAAGCAATCAGTCATCAGACAAGAACAATATCAGTGAAGATAGGAGGGGAAATTAGGAGGCTTCACAGACAGGCTTTGGAATTGGTTAATAAGAGTAAAAGGGAAGAGGTGTCAGAAGTTCTGTATTTCTATTGCAATTGAATAGATAATGCTGGTTGAAAGTCAACAGATGCTGCAGTAATAAACTAAACATGCTACCACTGCAAATGTGTTGTCTTCTCTGAGTGTATACTTGACACCTTGAAGTGACAATGGGCAGAAAGGCATGAAAGGTGGTTGATGGATAGGTCTTGATCTGTGCTTAGGGAGAAGAACCCACAAAATGAATGAAGAGGCACAGTTTAGTATTTAGAACATCAGGATATGACAAGATGGTAAATTATAGGCCCTTGAGCATCTAGTTGAGTTGACTCCTAAAGTTTCTTCAACTAGAAACAGTCTGTAGTTCCTTGGTTAAAAATAAAGGAAAAATAAAAATAAAATCATGGTGAACAGAGGGGCCTGTACAGTGTATAAATGATCTGCAATTTATCTGTTGTTTGCAGTCATTTTTCTTCTTTTTTGAAAAGTAAATGATAAAAAAGTACATTTGAAGCTGTAAATTGAAGGATAATTACCTTCTGGTAGCAAAGGAGAGTAAGCTAAACACACACACACACACACACGCAACTCTAGATTAAATACATGAGATGTAGATGACGTTGGGTTTTCTCATATATGGTTATAACTACACGGTGCTCCATTTCTTGAGATAGATGATTTTCTTTTATTAAACCTTTTTGTTTCAAAACAAAATTTGAAATAATGCTGTGAAAGTGTTTTCATAATGCAATATTAGCCTAGTAGGAAAGACACACACCATGAATCCTAGCACTCAGGAGGCAGAGGCAAAGGCAGGTGGATCTCTGAGTTTGCAGCCATCCTAATCTACAAAGCAAGTTCCAGGACTGCCAGGGCCTACACAGAGAAGCTCTGTTTTGAAAAGCAAAAAAGCAACCATGAAGTGCCCATTGTTTTTCATATCTCTGAACAGTGCCCGCAATCTGGAATTTGGTTATTTAAAATTAAAATATAAATTACATAATTTCCCCCTTTTCATTCCTCCCTGTAAGCCTTCAAACCCCCCAGCCCCATTCCCTTTCAAATGCATGGCTTTTTTTTTCCTTTAATCTATCTTCCTTCCTTCCTTCCTTCCTTCCTTCCTTCCTTCCTTTCCATGGCCCCTTTAATATAGCCCTGACAGTCCTGAGACTCGCTTTGTAGACCAGGCTGACTTAGAATTTACAGAGATCCTCCTGCCTCTGCCTCCTGAGTTGTGAGGATTAAAGGTGTGTGTGTCACCACATAAATATATAAATATAACCTGAACAGTCTGTTTTAGGGATTTACATACCTCCCTCCATTCTAATCTTCATTTTCGAATAAACCTTCACCTTTGGGTCAGGAAGGGCTGTGTGAATTCCACACCTTTAAATGCTGACCTTGAGCCCTGTCTCTCAAAGACCAGCTTTTCAGGAAGGCAAATCAAATCCCTGCCAGTCTAAGCAAACATTATCTCCTTTAATACTTAAAAATACAAAATGCTGAGATGAACAGTGTTCCCCTTACAAATTACCTTAAGACGCTAATAATAATAATAGAAAACACTAATTTCTTTTAAAGCCCAAATGTCCTGAGGGCCTGCTGTAGTAGTAATATATAATACTAAGGTAAGACCATAGAGTGATATGGATAAAAGCTAGAAAGACTATGATTTCTATTACAGAGTTCCTCACTTAAAGTGTTTTTGTTTCCTTGTTTTTAAAAAAGAAATCAAATGATAGAAATAGTAAAGGCAGGTGGCAAAGCCTGAAGGGTGTTTGTTTCAGAAATTACATTAAGAGACAGGTGAGCATCTGCAACAAGATCAAAGGCCAAAGTAGTTGATAGAGGGTTATATTACTTTTAGAAACATAAAGATGTTAAAATTCTACATTCTTAATTAATTTTCATTGCTTTAGGTTTGTTTTCTTTTGCATTTCACCCAGGTTCCCTTAGCCCTAAGATTTTATTATATGGCTTGCTTTAAAAAAAAAAAAGTGTCTTTTCATAGATAAATGCTAGCATTTATTACCAGTGTTAAACTGGTGATACTGAATTTACCTGTATAATCAATCTCAGATTTAGTAACAAAAGAGTTAATGGCATCCGTAGTAAGCAGGAAGCTGTTAGCCTTATGCATATGATGTGATGAATAATTTAGTATCTTCGGGAAATGCAAGCTGCAGTAGAATTCTAGCAACCCTGCCAGAAGTAAATCAGTGTTGTCCTCGTAACAGAAATAAGTCACCAGAAAAGAGGCTGAAAGATGACAAGTGCAGGGACATTGCTAGTAGTCCAGTCATGAGGAAGGCTCGGGGGTCTTTGTTGGGAGCAGTCTGCAGTGACAGTGGTGCCTGCGTTCTGACTGTTGTCAGTCGGGTTGCTGCTGAGATGATTGCTCATGGGATGGGGCCGCTTCTTTGCTGTCAGAAACAAGATACTTTCTCAGGTTTTTCATGTGAGTTTTTAAATTGTCCTTCTGTTTTCCTCCCATTTAATATGGATTAAAGGGTAAAACCTGATAAGTAGGCATGTTTACTAATAAAGGTTCAGTGGAAGTCATATTTATAAACACCGATGGAAAAGACTTTTATTATAAAGGAGTATAAATTTAAAATGTAATTATCGTAATTTTTCTAAAATGTTTATTTCCTTTAGCATGGTCTCATTAGCTTGTTCAGCTTGTCTTCGTGTGCCTGTGGTTATGTTATTACTCTTAAATATTGTGCATGCATTCTTGGTAGATGGGTGGGTGGAAGTACTTAGCAAAGCTAGCATTATCAATTTTATTGCTCTTTGAAGTACCTACTGTATCTAATACTTTAAGATTTAATTGGATTATGTTGTCTTGTTTAAGATGATGAAAAGTTATTTTTATTTATTGCTAATTACCATATTAAGATAAACCTTTGGGTATAAATTGGTTTGATTCTGATTTTTACTTAGCAGGAGTTGTCTTATTTCAAGAATATACTAAAGTACTGTCTTGTTTGCTTTAATATGCTCGTCCTTAAACCAACATGTATTTAAGCCATTAACTGTTTTCTTAGGTAGTACCCATAAGAAAAGAAAATCTTTTCCTTGCTGAAAAGGGTTTTTCTGAGAAATTATTATGTACCATTTGCACGTTGTTAATAGTAAGAAAAAATTTTTCTCATCCCAGTTTTGGGTATTGTCTTGATTGGATAAAGCATTCCTCTTTTCAGATATTACCACTTTCTCTTTGAGTTCTTCTTCCTAAAACGAATTTATGGACTTATTTCATTGATAAACTAAATTTTAATATAAATCATTTAGGTTAATGGCTAGTGTGGCCACTCAGAATTTTAGTAATTCATTTTCTCAAGTATGTTTTCATATCTAGGGAAATATAGTAAAGTGTCTCTCTGTAAATCTCATTGGTTATTGTTAAGTACAAAGTCATCTTAATTAAACTAATCTTAAGTATTTTCCCTGAATTTTTTTTGAATGCAGTTCTCCTAAATGGGAGGGTAGACCTCATGATATTAATTCTATTGGCCATACATCTTAACTTTCTATACTTCATTTTCACTAACATTTTAAAGAATACAGTCTTAAAATGCAGATTGCATTCTTTGATTGTATAACTCAGGAAATATTTAAGCTGTAAAATTATAAAGTTTCCAGAATGAGGATCTAGATAGGACGTATGTATGAATACATTTTGAACATTTCAAAGCACCTTTTAGTTAATGTGAAATTCTTCAGATGGCCCCATTGTCCTTCGAAGCTTCTAACACCGAGGTGTCTGTTGCAGCCCAGAGCAAGGTTACTGCTACCCAGGACAGCACTAATTTGCGATGTATTTTCTGTGGTAAGCAACATTATGTTTACATTACTTTTTCAAGATGTGGTACATACGACTTGCACATTTCCATAACTTTTGTTTCCTAGGCCATAGTCTGGTTTGTGGTATCTGGGATATAAAGCAAGCCTCTGTTTTATGTTGTGATATTTGTTGTGGTTCATGTAGGTGGTTTTGAGTTGGCTTACTAGTGAGGAATTAGTTAGAAGTAGGGTCTTAGAATTCTTTGTTTACCTCTTCCAATATAAATGAGAAGTTTTTTAAATTATAATTTGCTTTGGGAACTGACATTCAGTTTAATGTAAAAGAAAAAGGTATATGTATTTTTCATATGATTTGGATAATGTTAAATGTATCTTATTTGAAAGGAGCTTTTTTTTTTTAACCTTGAATGAGTTCTAGGTGTGCATGTTGTACAGGCAGATGTAAGCTTATTTTTTAATAGGTTGGTTTCAGATGACAACCTCTTCTATAGTAGGTTTCTGTGGCTTAGAAGTGAATTTAGGCTTATAGATTGTTTTCTGTCATACTCACTCTCATAAACATACATGTGTGTACATACATGTATTATTTGCATGGTTAAATTAGGTATGTCATTTAGCCACGCAGGTTGGCTCTGACCAATCATATATATATAATATATATATATGTATATATATATTATATATAAATTTTGCACAAGAAATTGTTTATATAGATAAGTATGTAGATACATATTATTGTTTGAATTCTTTCATTTCTGTTTGGTTCTGAATCCTCCCATTTTGAAAATCCAAGTTTCAAAAAATGTATTATTTGAACTTTTTATTGATTCACATATACCTTTTGACTCATATCTTGACTAGCTAGATTATTTCGTGGGATAAAACTATAAGATGGTGTAAGCAAAAAAAAAAAATTTGAATTGCTAGTTTAGTGTGTGTACTTTATCCATGTGACCCAGAATTTTTAGTGTAGTTTCTCAATATTGTTGATACGTTTCTTTAAGGAAAATCCTCTTTAAGTTGATGTGCTTACTGGTTTAGACAAGCATGCTATAAATAAGAAAAAAAAAAGACAATTCTAATGTATCTCATGATCACCTAAGTTATATTTTGATTTGCTCCAGCTGATGGTCACACCAGTGAGCACCTAGTTTATGACTTGTTATCAGTCTCTCCTCCCCTCTTCCAGACTCCAGCTTAGCACTGCAGATTGCTTCGAATCAATCAGTGACGTTGTTTCTGGTCGTGTCTTTTCTTAGGGGTTTCCTGGGCTTCTATGAGCAATCACTGATACTTGTGTGGTTAGGCCTCTCTTAAGTTCATTTTGAAAACGCATTAATATTGTAACTTTGTGCTTGAGATCCATGTGTAGAGTGATAGCTTACCCCGTTTTAAAGGGGGAAAAGTGATTTGACCTAATTAATAAAGGTGAATTTTTAAAACTTCTAAAATTACAGGTTAAAACAGATTTCCTTTATAACAGTCTTCAATTTGTGTACAATCTACAATCTGATTGCCAAGTTTAAGTTTGGTTGTATTGTATATAATAGCACCTACTTGTATTTTAGTCCTGTGTTTTTAAATGGTCTGTGGCTAAATGTGAAACTAGATTAATGAGAATTAAAATGGGGAGATTAAGTGAAATGTACTTTAACCAAAACTCAATATTGAAGGCAAGGCTGAACCGCCATTCCTGTTGGAGAGGGGTTCATATCAGATTTCCATCATTTGTAGGATGATGCTTTTCAGCAACATTACCATATTGTCTTTATTAGGAACAGTAATTCACAAACTTTGCACCTTCTAGCTTGAACAAATTAGGACCCACCATTGTCTGGTTATAAAGCAAACCTTCAGGCAGTTGCCATTCCTTCCTGTGGGAGGACTAGAGCACTATCACTCATACCTGCTCCTTGGTGGTTTCTCTTTCCCCTTCAAAAGATAGCTGATAACCTCCATACCATGCATGTTAAAATATTGTCATTTGCCTACTGAGATGGTTATGAAAGTACCTATTTTATATTTTATGAGAACACAGATACTCATTTAGGAATATGGCCCGTTTGAAAAAATAATATACATCCCAGAAAATGCAGCCACTGATAGCCTTGCCTAACCTCGTTTCTGTTTTCTGTTGTTTGTGTGATACCTTTGATACAACTTACCAATTTTATAATCCATTAAAATGTTTGACAAGAAAAAATGTAATTATGTACCTTTAGTTCATTATATATCTAGAATTTTTATCTAATAACTATAGTATGTTTAAAATTAAATTATGTTTAATTGCACATATATTTCATTATGCTGGTTTTTAATGCTAGTTTTTACAACTTGGCAATATTTATGAAGAAACAAAATAAACAGATTAAATATAGATGACAAAAAAATGCCAAAGGGAGGGATTTTGAGAATGCCTGGGTAAACAAATGGCTCATTATCAGAAAGCTACATAGCAAGGAATTGTAAGGGTTAGTCTGAGATCAAAATCCCCATTTTAAAGGGATCCCTTGAAATTCTTCTCATCTCATGTGCCAGGAATAAACTATAGTAAATTTCCCTATTCAGTTTGTTATAGTTTTGTTTTGTTGATATTATGTAAGTATATATAGCCCAGGGTGAGCCTGAACTCAGAATTCTCCTGTGGTTGCTGAGGTTACAGGCGTACACCACCACACTGGGCCCAGAGTTAGCTTTTTTTTTTTTAATGAATAAAAATCGTTTGATAATGTCAAAAGGTTAAATTGAAATTTTAACATTTTTGACTTGAATTTATAGATTTCAGCTAAAACATAGATTTAACTCATTAATAGGATCATTGAGATACAATGCGTTTTCTAGATGTGAGCATGACAGATTACTGACTTACAGTTGTTCCATTATTTATACTGGCTGAAGTTTTAACTTAAACAGTCAAAGAGTATTTTTAAAAGTAAGCCTTAATGGTCTTTAAGTTGGCCTTGCAAAATGCTTTGATTTTATAGTTTTAAAATTAAAGTATGGGCATATAGATTATACTTCCCCAATTTTATAGAGTCTTAAATTTATCCTTCCAACTCCTTTGTCTCTCTCCCTTTTTCTGAAAGGATCTTTTCTCTCTAAAATAGTAAGCATTAGAGTATAGCACAGTATGACAGTTTTTTCAAAAAGTCATTGTGTTAATTTTCTAAACATTCTATTTATTAGACAACAGTTATATTTTCATTTGTGTAAACATTTATGTGTGTATTTGACTTTGAGTTTAAAACATGTTTTTGTTTTTCTTGTTAAATTACATGGGGTTTATTTTATGTTTTATTTGGTTTGCAAAGTAGTAGACTTATATCTAATGAAATATATTGTTGCAGTTGTCATTAATTTGTCATTAGAGGGCAAATTAAACGATTAATCTAAAAACATGTAAAGAGATGAAAAATTTAGTAGGTAAGTTCAGATCATTTACCTGTTTTCTGTAACTGGGAGGTGCCAGTGCTCTATTACATCCTGATCAACTTTTGCTTCCAGTTGTGGCACTGCCCCACGAGGATAAAATAGCTACTTTCATGATCTTCACTCACAGCTCACAGTAACATATCCTAGTACACACAGCATTTATTTACTTACTTTTTTATAGTAGTGCTCTGCAAAACTCTGAGAATCCCTGCTAGGGGTTTTTGGTGGCACACTAGCAGTCAGAAACCCCTCAGAGAACGGGAGAAAACTTGTCATCACGTTCTTGCTTTACTGTTGTGGGTTTCAAGGTTGTTGTAGTTCAGCCTTACGTTAGTATCAGTCACTTAATTTTTATATCCAGTGGCAATAAGATTTCCCATAATTTAGTGACAGTCTAAGATGCTAAAGACGGGTCTACATTATATGTAGTTGTGGGAGTGGATGGTCAGTGCTTTCTCATGTTGCTGTGAACAGTCTTCCCCTTCCCCCCGCCTTTCTTACCTCGAAAGTTGTTAAGATTACCTATAATATTAAAAATTGAGATAAATAGGTTAATACAGTGTATGGGAGTTTAGCAAATGTTTGTTTCTCCAGTAATAAAAATGCAATGCCATGAAACAGAAATGGCAGCTCAAGTTGGGCAGGTTTGATAAATGCTTTAGCGTGCTCCAGTCTGGTAATGAGGTTCTCATGCTCTCTCTCTCCTGTTTTTCATTTCCAGTGTTCTATTTAGGTGAGTTTTTTAATTCTGATTTTTCATTTTAGTTTTTCCTCTCCACCTCATGAACAATTTCCCTGAACAGAATGTCTCATTGTCTTAGAGAATGTCAAGCTCAGGTGCCTATTCAGGTGCTCATTGAACACTTGTTTTACTCAAGCTCTTCATATATAAATGTTTATTTTTTCCTTTATTGTTGGTGTTTCCATTTGTTTCAAGTAAGCCTTCTGAAAATGATGACAATATTATGTTGCAGTCTTTCATTTGCTGTGTGTTATGTAAAGCTTATATTTTATTTTGCTAGACAAAAAGAAGATGCATTTTTAATATGTGATGGTTTTATGTTGTTCTCATGGTTTAATTTCCTCCATCCAGCTAGGTAGAATGATAGCACTCATCTGTAATGTTTCCCTCCCTTATAGGGCCAACATTGCCTAGACAAAATACACAGCTACCTGCTCAAGTTCAAAATGGCCCATCCCAAGAAGAGTTGGAAATCCAGAGAAGGTGAGTCTGTACAATTACATTTCCTTCTTTGCAGCAGACCCAGAGGACACTGACAATACATTATGTCTTTCAGTTCTTTGAAATTAGGACTTCCATTTTATCTGCTTTTTTGTAAAAAGCGTACTTGGGATACATCTAAAAATACATTAAATAGACTTAGAATATAATAGTGTCTGTTCCCTTCAATCAGCCTTATTCTGTTTTCAGTATCAGTGTGTGTCCCACATACATGTACCCATGCATGTAGAAGTCCAAGGGAAACATCAGGTATCTTCAATAGCTCTTTACATTTTTTCAAACAATCTTTCACTGAACCCAGAGCAAGCTGATTGATTGAGCTAGACTGGATTTTCTAGTAAACTATAGGGATTGTCTTCCCCACCTCTGGGATTACGGACTGGATTTTATACCATGGACTGAATTTTTTTTTTTATGTGTGATGAGGATTATACTAGAAGTAGGCTTGAAATTTAATACATTTTCATCCCTAAAATCAAGTGGATAATACTTCATTTCAGGGTGGATTTTTCTGAATTAGCCAGCGTGTGTGTGTGTGTGTGCGCGCGCGTGCACGCGTGCATACAGACACACACACACACTCCCTCACCATTTCGGTAGGAAGTAGGAAGTCATTCAGAGAGTTTTACATGAGTTGGAGAGACTGCGCTATGGTTGAGAGCAGTAGTGCTCTTCTGGCACCCACATGGCACCTGATAGCCATCTCTAACTTTGGTTCTGACAGGGTCCAGTGTCTTCTTCTGGTCCCTCCATGCACTGCACAGGCATATACAGACAAAACACCCACTCATACATATAAAATAAAAATAGTATTTCTGTAGTCAAAGTTCTCTGACTTTATTATAGGGAGATTGGAAAATGAGGAGTAGCCAGAGTGAGTAGAGTCAGGGCTGGAGTATAGCTTAGGGATAGAGCTCATGGAGGTTCAGTCCCCCGTGCCAGCCTCCCAGAACATAGGAATTGAATAATTTGTCTAGTTGAAAAATAGTGACATATCAATTTGAAATGGCAAGAAGAAATATTTCTTATATTTTTGGTTGTGAACCTAGCCTTAAATGGCTGAGCCATCTCTCCAGCCCAAGAAGAAATGTTTCTAAGGTAATTGCTGTATTTAGAAACGTGAAATAACTGCAAGAATAGTGAAAACTTAATTGATTCTGTGGGAAGAAACCAGCAGTGGTGAGCATTGGTAAGAGGCATTGTAATGCTCTTTGACTTTTAAACTAGGCATTGCTTTTATAAGTTTATTTTTTTTTTGTAATCAGTATGAAATTAGTTGGCAAAATAAATGTTAAGTGTTAAAGTAAATATTAAACCTTGTTGATATAATACCTTTATTATACCATAAGATAGTCTTTTACTCATGTGTCTGCCATTCATTAAATCAGTTTCTGGTTCTTACTCATTAATATTTGGCTACCTTGGCTATGATGGAGAAATGTATTCTAAGAAACATGAGTCAGTCCTGTGCTCTCGACATAGAGGATAATTTAGTTAATTTCTATAAATAGCTAGTAAATCAACACTACTAACTGAAAGTTATAAAAGGGGGATAATAATCCCAGCAAGGAACTGAGGAACTGGAGTAATGAAAGTGTACAGCACTCCCATTATCCTTCAGAGGCAGAATGGACCAAGAGTTGATCGGATTTTGTTGTAAGTATTGACTCTTGTCACAGGAGCTTTGTGGCTTTAAAACTCAATTGTCTTTTTTAAAGTCTTCCTCTTCCTCCTCTTTTTTAACTAATAGATTAAATGCCCACATTTTACAATAAAAAGTATGTGTGTTCACCATATGTGGTAGTGTATACCTTTGATTTCAGCATTTTGTAGATAGAAGTTAGTGGGTCAGTGTGAGTTCAGAGCTAGCTGAGGCTACATAGTGCTACCCTGTCTTGAATTGAAATCTATATTTACACAACTACCATTCAAGGTAATGATGAATAAAATATATCTTGACATTTTATTTATATTTTACATGCTTCACAAGACTGTGTCTTAAGTAAACATAAACTAAGTGCATGTTTGTGTGTGTGTGTGTGTGTGTGTGTGTGTATATATATATATATTGATTTCATTGTGGGCCAGTTCTTTCAATATCTGTTTGCATTTGGGGCCTGTTGTTTTGGAGGATAACACTTCAGTGATAGAAGAAAACTATACTTTATATTTTTACTCGATACATTAAAATACTTTAATGGCCATAATAGTATTCATTTATATTTATTTCTGAAAAAGGTATATAATTGTTTCTTCTGAAACATTCAAATTATTTAAAATGTATGGCTAATTCAAAGAAAACAAACCTTTTGGAATTTTCTCCCTGGCCTGGAACTCAGACACGTGTGTTGTAGTAAAATCTACTAATAACAGGTAATAGCAATTGATATATATGACCTCTAGGAAAAAGGGCTATACCAACTTCCAGTATGCAAGCTAGTAGTAATGATCCTGAGGAAAGCAAGCTTCAAAATTTTGGAAACTAATAAAAAGATTTAGGGATGTCTTACTGTATAGATTAAAACATTATAGGCAGATTTGTAAGTCTTTCAGTTGAGGTAGGAATTATTCATGTTCACCAAGGATTTGTAAGGCAGAAAATTTGTGCTTCACGCTGTTTTTCATCTACATATACATAGTCATCTTCTCAGTGAGCAGGCTTTCTTCAAACATCAGTCTCTTGAAGGTGTATCATCAGCTTATTTGAATTATCTATCAGCAAATTTGAAAGTATTCCCCGGCATTGCACTTTTTTCCTTAGACACTCTTAACTTTTATAGACTTGGAGCCTTTAGAGATTGACAGGTAGAAAAATCTTCTGAAGTCAATACATTGTCATTATAAATGTCTGTATTCAATGCTGCTTCCAGATTCACCACATCCATACCTATCTTACCTTTAATGACCACCAACCATTACTTGCTCCGTGTGTTAAAAGCATTGTGTTGCTTAGAGAAACAGATATTAACAGCTTTTTTTTTAATGCCCAGCAATCAGAATGGGTACAAATTGCTGTCAGAATACTTTGTAGCTCAGCTATGGACAGTGTTTATATAATGCTAGTATTACCCTGAATGTTCCTGAATATTGATTTAGCCAAGTTATTTCTTACTGCTGTGTGTGTGTGTGTGATGGTTGTTGTGGAAGGCTTTTGCCATTAAAAATGGAAATCAATCAGCTAAAATGGGAAATGGGTAAGGAAGTGTTAAGATGGTAAGCTAATGTTTGTTCTGTTGTAAGCTTGATATATACATAAATGGTTTTGAGATAAATGAAAAGAGAAGCACAAAATGTAAACATCCTAAAACCTAATATTTTTTTCAAATTAGCAGTGGTCACTTTTCTTTTTAAAAAATTTATTTTCATGCATGTGAGTGTTTTGCCTCAAGGCCAGAAAAGAGTGTTGGATCTTCTGGAGCTGGAGTTACAGAAGTGAGAATCAAACCCAGGTCGTCTGAAAGAGCAGCTAGTACTCAAACACTGAGCCATATCCCTAGCCCTTAGTTAAAATTCTAATACAAACCTCACTTGAGGTTGTTTATTATATATACATTATTGAAAAAAATATCTTTTCTGTCTCTAGTTTTTAAATTTATTATGTATACAGTGTTGTGCCTGTATGCCAGGCTAATTATATCCTGCACTGGAGACCACTCAAACTCTTAAGGGCTAAGCAGTGCTGTCCATATGCTCGTGGAAGTTAAAGAGGTTAGACTAAGGGTTTGCGGTAATTTTTCCAGTGTGCATTGTGTCAGAAAAAGCAGATTTCAGAGTTGTGGTGAGATGATACTGATTTGATTGAATTTCAAAATCTATGGGTGTGTTATTATAGAACAAAAGGTCTAGATGTATATACCAAAATGTTAACTATAGTTACCTACAGACATGAAATTTTAGTGATTTATAGTTTATTTCTTACTTAACTGGCTTTATTTTCTAGTCACCAAATGTTGTTTTCAGGTATAGCTACTATCATTGTTTTTCCTGAAGCTGTAACTTGTGCGGTTAAAAATGTTACATTTTTAAGAAAAAGATTACATTTTAAAATTATTTCATCATCTGATTAATATAATGATTTGGTGATTATAGTGGGAGGTTTATTCTCAAAAGCTGTGTTGATTGAGCCCATGTGGCTCTTGAGAGGTTAGTTCCATTGGTATAAAATACAAGGTGTCTGTAAGGAGCCTGCCTTTGTGTGGAAGTAGTGACCACGGGTTTTAGTTTTATTTATTCGATTTTTAATTTCAGGCAGCTGCAAGAACAGCAGCGACAGAAGGATCTGGAGAGGGAGAGGCTGGAAAGAGAAAGAATGGAGAGGGAAAGGCTGGAGAGAGAACGACTAGAAAGAGAGAGGCTAGAGAGGGAGCGCCTGGAACAAGAGCAGCTGGAGCGGCAGAGGCAGGAAAGGGAGCACATGGAGCGCCTGGAGAGGGAGCGGCTGGAGCGCCTGGAGAGGGAGCGGCAAGACCGAGAGCGCCTGGAGCAGCTGGAGCGCGAGCAAGTGGAGTGGGAGCGGGAGCGCAGAGTGTCCAATGCTGGTAAGAGTCTGCAGACTTACGTCTCCTGCACCTGAGCTGGGAAAGGATCTGTGCAGCCGAGAATTGTGATACTTCACATGTGCGTGCTGGGGAATAAGCAGTGCAGTTTGGAGTTAGGATAAGTACTTAGCAATTATTGCTTCAGTATTTGTTTTATTGCTTAGAAACTAAAAGAAAGCTCTTGGGAATTTTTGTTTTGCCATTTTCATTCTTTTTGCTGTCCTAAAATTCAGCTATAAAGTGCGAATGTTTTTATGCAAAGTTTTTTTATAATGATCTTGGAAGATATTTCCCTTGTGCAGTCAGTTAAAGTTATCACATACTCTACTATGCCACATACAGCATCAAGTTAGCTTGGGTATAGTCAGGTTTCTGAAGGAGAAATTAAAATAGATGGAAGTATTCGCTTAAAGTAACTGGTTATTTAAACATTTTCTGGTATTGTGAAAAATATCAAGTCAGGGATTCATCAAATGTCATTGAGTTTATGATATGGTTAAAGCTTAAGGTGTTGAGTATTTATCAGAGAACTTTAATCTTTCTGAGCTACATCAGAAGCCAGTGTGGGTTCAGGATTGGCTAGTTGGTTAAGTTAATTCATAGTTTTTCACTGCCTGATTGTCTGCAGTCACAGCTGAGAAGATAGAAATGTCCACAAGTAAGCACTAAGTTGGGTGTTCTTTCCATTTGTACTAAACATTTTGTCATGTTCGAAACAACTCAGTTTATTCTGCTGTTTGTAATAATTTTGATGCTGTTTTAGTGGACTAAATAAAAAAGTTAAGACTGTTACTGTCCTTTTCCTATAAAGGATAGAGTATTAATCCATATAGTTAAAAGAATATATTTCATCCTCTTTCAAATTTCAAAAGTGTTGACAAGTTAAATTTTCTCAAGTGGAGACAGTTATTTGCCTAATTTTCTGGTACTAACTATAGTCTACGATTATACATTTTGTCTGATTGCTGGTTTTGTGGCTTCACTAGCTCCCTTTTTCTCTCTCCTTTTTTATCCTGTCTTTGCCGCTGCTTTCCACCTTATGTCCAGCTCCATCTTCAGACAGCTCCCTGTATAATGCTCCACTTCCTGAGTATTCCAGTTGCCAGCCTCCTTCAGCACCTCCTCCATCATATGCTAAAGTCATCTCAGCTCCAGTGTCAGATGCCACTCCTGATTACGCTGTAGTGACTGCTTTGCCACCTACTTCCACACCCCCTACACCACCACTGCGACACTCAGCGACACGTTTTGCAACATCTCTAGGTTCAGCCTTCCACCCTGTTCTTCCCCATTATGCTACAGTTCCTCGTCCTCTGAACAAAAACTCTCGACCTTCTTCTCCTGTGAACACACCCTCTTCTCAGCCTCCAGCTGCGAAGTCCTGTGCCTGGTCTACTTCCAATTTCTCGCCCCTCCCTCCATCTCCTCCGATAATGATTAGCAGTCCTCCTGGCAAAGCTACTGGCCCAAGGCCTGTCCTCCCCGTTTGTGTCTCCTCTCCTGTGCCCCAAATGCCTCCGTCACCGACAGCACCCAATGGGCTGCTGGACTCTGTAACATACCCAGTGTCCCCACCGCCTACCTCAGGGCCAGCAGCGCCACCTCCTCCGCCACCGCCGCCTCCACCACCACCGCCACCACCGCCGCTGCCTCCCCTCGCCTCACTCTCACACTGTGGATCACAGGCTTCTCCTCCTCCAGGCACCCCTCTTGCCTCAACTCCCTCATCCAAGCCCAGTGTTCTCCCTTCTCCCTCTGCAGCTGCCCCTGCCTCTGTGGAGACCCCTCTAAATCCTGAGCTGGGAGACTCCTCTGCTTCCGAGCCAGGCTTGCAGGCAGCCTCTCAGCCGGCCGAGACGCCAACCCCACAGGGTAAGGCTTCACTGCTACTACTGCTGACTACTGGTCACTTCAGAGTAGTGTGTAGCAATAACTGACTGCCTGGTAGAATGAGTCAGATGGTTTTAATAATTGAGCATCTCTTTACCAAAGTACTTACATGGGGTTTTATTTTATTTTTTAAAAAATTGAAGGAATTTTTTTTCTTTGGTCCTGGGACCTTAATTGTATATAGGAATTTAGTATGGGAGATATCCATATTAGACTTAGGTTTTTGGATCTTTTGCAGTAAGAGTTGTAGGAGGTGCTTTCTAATATTTAGGGACCCTTATACAAATAATTTTAAACTTCGCTAGGAAAACTTGATTGGTCATCTTCCATGCAGTAAATAGGAAATCTAAATACTTCCTGGAGAGTTGGAGGTCTGTTTAATAGATAGATCATCTCAGAGCTTGCCCCAGGGCACTTCTGCTCTAAGACGTGCTGATTTAGATGTTTAGAGTGGGTAACCTTTGGGCTGGGGGAAGAAGGAGAGGATTGGCAGGTTTGGTGTGTACCCCAGAGGATTTCACAGGCCCGATTGCAAGTAGTGGTATAAGGGCAAACAGAGAGGGTCCTTAAAGGTTTGTCCCAAACACAAGCTGTGCTGCATGACAGCAAGGAAGGGACCTTAGAGCTGTAAGTGTGGAGGATGTACATAAAGTTCCCCGGTTCTGTAAGAGGAAACATTATGACCCTGCTTTTTGTTGTTGTTTATATAAGTATACAATGTAGTGAGGATGCCAAAAACAACTTCATGCTTAAAAACAATGTTACAATCTAGATTTAAAAATAACTTCCTTTGCTGGGCAGTGGTGGCGCAAGCCTTTAATCCCAGCACTCGGGAGGCAGAGGCAGGCGGATCTCTGTGAGTTCGAGACCAGCCTGGTCTACAGAGCTAGTTCCAGGACAGGCTCCAAAGCCACAGAGAAACCCTGTCTCGAAAAACCAAAAAAAAAAAAAAACTCCCTTTGTTAAACACGACCTTTTTTATGATATTTCATCAGATTTTACTAAAAGGTGGCTCAAATTAGAATATGCGTAATTTACTATCTGATTGACATCTGATCAGAAGGCACATGCAGCCTGACAATGCTAACTGTCCTGCTGTGACTCAGAGCTCAATCTGCAGGATAGGACAGCTTACCTCCAGCCTTTCATTTCTGTTTGTATGCCTGTTCAAGCCTCAGAAGTGACAACTCCTACCCAGTGTGCAAACTCAGTTCCTTCTTTACAAAAACAAAAATTAACCTTTTAAGCCTTACCGGTAAATAAATACCTTTTTGTTATCATAGTCAAGTATATTATCTTAGCATCTAAGGTTTTACATGGATTATCTTGGGTCTGTTATCTTGGGCAGTACTAATTGCGTGGGCGTGCGCACGTGTGTGTATGTGTGTATGTAACATTGCATATCTCTCTAATAAGCATTTATTTTCAACTCCCTTGAGGGGGTCTCATTGCTTCTGTTACTAAAGGTCAAATATTAAATGGTTGTGTAAATACTTTGGCTTTCAAATCATACCTTTTGTTAAACTAGTCTAGATTTTAAGTATAATGATAAATTAATCTCTTATATACAGTGTCTGAGTCAACTTACTTTAGAATGTCATTCTATATATTTTCCCTTGTAAAATACAATGATATATTAGCTCTGTTGTTGATGATTGTCTTAACTTTTCTTCCTCTCAGGCCTTGTCTTGGGACCACCTGCACCTCCACCACCTCCACCCCTCCCACCTGGCCCTAACCACACCTCAGCACTCCCTCCTCCCCCTGGACCTCCTCCACCACCTCCACTTCCATCCACTGGGCCTCCTCCACCGCCTCCCCCACCCCCTCTTCCTAACCAAGTTCCTCCCCCTCCTCCCCCACCTCCTGCCCCTCCCCTCCCTGCATCTGGATTTTTCTCTGGATCTATGTCAGAAGACAATCGCCCTTTAACTGGACTTGCAGCTGCAATTGCAGGAGCAAAACTTAGGAAAGTGTCTCGGGTAAATTACCAAATTACTGAACTTTTAAATGTGTGTCTTGTTTCTAAATGTCTAAAAACGTGAAATTACTGTATTATGCTGGTGTAGACCCTGTTATTAAAAACCAACATAATTTAAAATTTTAGAAAAGGTGTAAGGGTAGTATAAAGAGTGTGACCTCATCATCTCTATATTCACTAGTTGACTTTTAACCACTATTTGCCTCTTCTTTTCTCTGCGTATATCACCTTTATCACACAGTTTCTAATCTGAATGATTTGAGAGTAAGTCAGAAACACCATGTTCTTATTTTTCTATCTCAGTGTAAATTTGAAGGGAGGGTAGCTAATAATTTTTATGGCATTTTTTCTAGTTTAAGATCATTTGTTAAATTTAAATATAATGTCTCTTATTTTAATCTGTGACAATTCCTCAATCTTTATTACCCTTTAAAAACACTAACTTTTTTTTCTATAATTACCTGAGTTTGATTTATCATATTTCTTCCTCTGTTGGATTCAGATTATGTATTTGGGATGAGGAAAAAATTACCATTAGGATTGTGTCTTTTTCAGTGCATCATTTGGAAAATCAGTACTGTTTTTCCCCATTATTGGTGGTCTTAACTTTATAGAATTCCTATTAACATATAAAGTCAGTGTTACTCACTATTGGTTCTTCAAATTTAAAAAAAAATGTACTTTTTTAAATCAATAATGATGTGTTCCTCTGTTTTGAATGTATTAATAAGCATTATTATCTACATAGGAAATTATTCTGTGTGTGTTCTCATTAAGGTGGAGGATGGCTCTTTCCCAAGTGGAGGGGGTACTGTAGGTGTGAACTTGGCCTCATCCAAAGGAGATGCTGGTCGTGGGAATGGACCCCTTCCTCTAGGGGGGAGTGGCTTAATGGAAGAGATGAGTGCCCTGCTGGCCAGGAGGTGAGATTTTATTGTAGTGGGTATGTCCAGAATCAAAAACACTTTGATAATTTTGTCCTCTTCCCTCTTAGAACAAGAGTAGTTAGGCAGGCAGGCAGACAAAGATAGGTGATATAAAAATTTTTAATCAATTTGCCTTTCCAGGAGAAGAATTGCTGAAAAGGGGTCAACAATAGAAACAGAACAAAAAGAAGACAGAAGTGTAAGTGAATATAAAATCTCTGTGCCTTCAGGTGTAGAGCTCAAGCCTAGCTCATTAAAGACTCATATAATCTAAACTTAATTCTTTTGAGCTTATTTGCTTATTTTATTTATAACTGTACAAGTATTAAAATGGCTTGAGTGTTATGTATAAAATTTTAATCTCATTCTTGGTGAATTGAGTTGAATATGAAGAGTTGTGGGAAAAGTACTGAAGTTCAAATGTCTAAAGTTAATTCTGTTCTTATACCCACCATTATATGAGCGAATGGATTCTTGCAAGTTTTCTAATCCGTTAGGCTCCTCAATTTCTTTGTGTTAATGTAAGATTAGATCAGCAGTTTATGCATCACCCTTAGGAGCCCTGGGTTTATTAGCTGTGCCCCCTAGGATTGTACCTTCATATCCTATTCCACATTTCAGCTGGGTGAGCATCTCCAGCCTGTTCTGTATGTGCCATTCAACACAGCCATGATTGTTTTCTCTGTGCCGTCTGGCCTCCTTTCATAACACTTCTCAAATCCACCTCGTGTCCGGTTCCTAGCGTTGGCTAGAGCAGGCTCTCAGAGCTTAGCAAAGAAGGAGCTTTGTGAAGACAGTAGAGGGAAGACTGAAAGGAAGAGAGGGAAGCAGCGTAAGCCAGAATGGAAGGAAAACGAGGTAGATGGCAGAGAGGACATGGGAGGAGAGTTTGGAAACCTAGCTGCAGAGACTAGTGTTTCTGGTGATGTGATCTTCATGTGACTGTTTCTGTATATTTAGGAAGATTCAGAACCTATAACTTCCAAGGCCTCTACAACAAGTACACCTGGTAAGTTCAGCAGAAATTTCCCTAAACACTAGTACTGTCCAAGTAAAAAGTCTCTTTCCCCATGTTTGGACTGACCAATTGACTACTTGCTCATCAATAATGTTAAAGTGCCTTCTGTGCATTTGAAGGCTTTGATCTTTTTTTCTGCCTTTTGTGATTTCAGGAGTTAATGCTTTTCTTCCCGAAACTGAAATCTGTTAAATTCAACATTTTGCTACTGTTATATTGGCAAATACCTTAATATACATGTTCATGTGTGTGTTTATAGACTGAGATTATTCATTACAGTTTTAAAAGAAGAAATGAAATGCACATGTTAGCATATTTCAGAACATTCTCAGTTGAGGAAACAAACTCTCCCCTTTTCTTTTCCCCCTCCGAGACAGGGCTTCTCTGTAGCTTTGGCGACCAGACTAGCCTTGACCTCATAGAGCCTCCCAAGTGCTGGGATTAAAGACATGCGCCACCACTGCCAGGCTCAAACTCTCCGTTTCTATGCAGCCATTGACTGCTAGTAGCTCTTTGTCTAGGGGTTGTGTCACATGGAATGTCCCATGTCTGTTTTGACGTGTCAACTGATGTTGTTGTGCTAGTCTTGTTCAAGCAGCCATGTTGTTGAGATATCCTGGCTAGAGCTTCCCTGTCATGTCGACACATGCATTCGCCTGGTCCTCTGACTCTTCTTAGAAGCTTCTCATCTTCTCATCTGTGATTTTCCTGAGCTTTAGGTATAGGAGTTATATAGCAGATTATTATCTGGGTTTGGCACCAAACAAGCCAGTCACTCTGCATAGTTGTGGATCCTTGTTACAGTCTCCATCTTTTGGGGGGAAAAAAGGTGACAGCTATATTTACCTGTAGCTATAAAGAATAATAGTATATAGTTAGAAATGATATTGGTTTAGGAAAATGACAGTAGTGCTGGTTTTCCTCTCAGGACATTTTCCCACTCTAAAAAAAATATCTTTTTGAAGTTGGCTATTTCTATCATTAACATTGTGACCCCATGAACTAATTTTCCACAATGCATCTTGGTTTTTCTCTAAATGGACTTGGTACATTATTTTTATAAAAAAAATCCAACTGTTTTTAACCCACACATATGAAATCAGGAATTCATTTAGAAAAGTTTAGAGCTTCTTTTTCATTTGTTTAATTCAATTCTTAAGATTGGCATTGTAGCCAGGCGGTGGTGGCACACACCTTTAATCACACCACTTGGAAAGCAGAGGCAAGTGGATTTTTGTGAGTTCGAGGTCAACTTGGTCTACAAATCAAGTTCCAGGACAGCCAGAGCTACACAGAGAAACTCTTTCTCAAAAAACAACAACAAAAAGACATCACATTAAAACATTTAATGAGCCAAAAATGGGTGAGAGATTTAAAAACACTCTTGGCTTTCCAACATCAGGTTTCTCTGTAGCTTTGGAGCTTGTTCTGGAACTCGCTCTGTAGACCAGACTGGCCTCAAATTCACAGAGACCCACCTGCCCCCTGACTTCTCAGTGGCGGCCTGCGCCACCACTGCCTGGCAATATTTAAAGCCTCTTAAGCACAAAATCTCATGAAATGTTAAATGCAACTGTGTCAGCTGTGTCAGAGGGAATGACATATCAAGTCACCTGGGCTATCTTTGGCGAGAATGCTGTTTCCTTCTGTATGTAGAGTGTTTAGCTAGCTGAAACTAGCACATTAACATATATGAACAGAGGTGTGGTGTTAAAGTTGAGTAAGAGAAAACTAAGAAATGACAAGTTGACTTACCAGAGATTGTTGGGGAAAAGAAAATGTTTAAAAAGACCTGGTTCAATTTCCAGCACCCACGTGGCAGCTCATAACTGTCGGCAACTCTAGTTTCAGGGGATCTGACACCTTTACACCAGTGCACATAAAATAAAATTGAAAAGACTGTTAGGGAAAGATAATAGATTCGGATTTTGTCTTGCAAATATTTGTGTTGATGCGTAAGTCAGTAAAACTCTTTGGGAGCCCTTTAAGTTGGCTTTTGTCAGCCTTGTCATTGTGGAGCTGGGGAAGACTGAGTTAAGAAAACCAGTTGGGGGCTGGAGAGATGGCTCAGCGGTTAAGAGCATTGACTGCTCTTCCAAGGGTCCTGAGTTCAATTCCCAGCAACCACATGGTGGCTCACAACCATCTGTAATGAGGTCTGCTGCCCTCTTCTGGCCTGCAGGCATACACGCAGACAGAATATTGTATACATAGTAAATAAATAAATGTTTATTATTTATTTATTTATTTATTTATTTGATTTTTCGAGACAGGGTTTCTCCATAGCTTTTGGTTCCTGTCCTGGAACTAGCTCTTGTAGACCAGGCTGGCCTCGAACTCACAGAGATCCGCCTGCCTCTGCCTCCCGAGTGCTGGGATTAAAGGCGTGCGCCACCACCGCCCGGCAATAAATGTTTTTTAAAAAACGAAAACCAGTTGGGAAATCTGCTGGAGCCAGTGGAGTAGCTGGGGAGGTGACACACTTTTAATTCCAACACTCTGGAAGCAGAGGCAGACAGATCTCTGAATTCAAGGCCAGTTTGGTCTGCACAGCAAGTTCCAGGACAGCCAGGATTGTTACACAGAGAAACCCCTTTAAAAAAAAAAAAAAGTTTAACTGGGTAAACTCTTACCTGTAATATCAGCATTTAGTAGACTTGAGACAACAGGATTGCCACAAATTTGAGTCCAGCCTGGATTATATATACAATTCTAGATTACCTTGAATTACAGTGTGAGACTGTCTTAAAAAAAAAAACAAACAGACAAACAAAAAAGAGATTAATAAATTCTCCCTCCTCTTCTGTTGAGGTAGTGTTAGCACTCCATCTACCAGCAGTTACTTTCATCCTTCCACCTGCGTCGTCTCTGATAAGTGTCTCGGTGGCTCTTCCCCTCCCTTCCTGCTCTGTCTTCCATCCTCTGTTACCTGGGTTAGTGTGTTGGATGTAGTTCTTTTTTTTTTTTTTAAATATCTTTGGGATTCATATATATATATATATATATATATATATATATATATATATATTATGTATACAATATTCTGTCTGTGTGTATGCCTGAAGGCCAGAAGAGGGCACCAGACCCCATTACAGATGGTTGTGAGCCACCATATGGTTGCTGGGAATTGAACTCAGGACCTTTGGAAGAGGAGGCAATGCTCTTAACCACTGAGCCATCTCTCCAGCCCTTGGATGTAGTTCTTATTCCATCATCTTGGCTTCCTGGTTTGTTGATGTTCCCTTACTAACTGCTGACTGACAGAGTGCCTTAGCACTCTTTATAAGAGTCCCTTATAAAGGAAGAATTAAATATTGACCAAGTAAAGGAAAATCAATGGCAACTTTTAGGGTCTTCCCTAGGTGCCTTTAACAGTTCAGAGCCCAAAGCAGGCATCAAGGGAGTTTTAATTTAGTTTTGCATACAGTTCAAAGAGACTTTAAAGCTTTCTTCTGAGTACAGAAGCCACTGAGGGGAAACATTAGAAAATATATCACAGATTGAACATTTTATTTACTATTGGACAAAAAGTTTAGTACATTTGAATTTATTGGATTCTAGTGTAAATTGTGTTGATTAGTAAAAGGCCACTATCATTTGGATTACTTATGTTATTACTGCTATCATTTGGATTATTTAGATTTTATAATAGAAAGGGTTTCAAGGAAACTTTTAATTTCTTCTCATTTTTTTGTTTTGATTTGATTTTAGTTTTTTGGACAAGGTCTTACTCCTTGGAACTCACTGTGAAGACCAGGCTAGCCTCAAACTCAGAGCTCTTTCTGTCTCTACCTCCTGAATTTCCATTTTAAGTTCTAAAAACCATAAAATTTAGAGTCCTTTGTGTTCAGAATTTATATTTGGTGTATGTATTATTACTGTGTCCATAGAATGATAGTTCTTTTGTGTCTTGTTTTGCAATGATTCTAGAAGGATCTGAGGTGTATTCGTTTAATAACACTTGTTTCTTATTTTTGAAGAACCAGCTAGAAAACCTTGGGAGAGAACAAACACAATGAATGGCAGTAAGTCACCTGTCATCTCCAGGTATTGATCTTTTTCTAAGATTTATATTACATGCTTGTCTACAAAGAAGTTAATACATTTTTATCATAGAAAACTTTTGGTTGTACAAAGGAAAACATAAAGGCACCTATGATGCATATATTGAACAACCACTAAATTTATATTTTTGCTACTCCTGATTATCTGATAAATTCTGCTGACATGTTTGTTAATCAGATTTATTGATATTTTAGGATAGTTTATCCCTTTTAACTTGTTTTTTTAATTCAAATTAAAAGAGAAAAACAGTGTAGCAAATATTAAAATGCAACTACCACCCAAACTTAACAGTTACATGTCTTATGTCTTTGCATCCATATTTTTGCCTATTAATAGTTTGAAAGAAACTTGCAAGTAAGTGATGTTTTAACCTAAATCCTTTGACAGTCTCTCAAAGAACCCAGGACATCTCCACATAACCAAAATAGAATTACTGCCCCCACAGCAATTAAACGTTGAACGGTAATGGAAATCTGATATAGCATTGACCAATAATGCCCCATCAGTCTCTATATAGTTTTTAAAATACAGTACCAATTTGTTGTATCTCTTCAGAACTTCTAACTGTGGCCTGGAGAAGTGGCTCAGTGGTTGCTCTACTGAACCCAGGTTCAAGTCCTAGCACCCACATGGTAGCTTCCTGGGGATCCAATGTTGTTTTCTGGCTTGTGAAGGCACTGTAGTCACATGTAGACATATGTATAGGCAAAATACCCATTTGCGTATAATTTAAAATTCTATAATTTAGGTGTGGTGGTACAAACTTTTTAATCTCAACATTCATGATGCAGAGGCAAGTAGATCTCTTAGTTTAAGGCCAATCTGGACTACATAGTAAGTTCTGGGCCAGGCAAAACTACATAGTTACATAGTAAGATCCTGTTTCAAAAAACCAAATCAATCAATAAATAATAAATTTTTCAAAAATATTACAACCAAACATTTTTAATTATAGTCAAGTTAGAGAAGATAGGCTTGTTCTCTCTCTCTCTCTCTTTCTCTCTCTCGCTCTCTCTCGCACGCACGCACACACACACAAAGATAATATTCAGACTGGGGATATAGCTTAGTTGTCAGAATGCTTACCTGATATGCACAAAGGCCTGAGTTCAGTGTCCAACACTGCATGAACTGGACATGGTAGCATATGCCTATAATCCCAGTACTGAGGTACAGGGGTTGGGGATGAGACAGAAGAAAGGTCAAGGTCATCCTCATCTACTTAAATTTGAGGCCAGCCGGGCCTACATGAAATCCTGTCTCCAAAGACAAAGAAAGGAAAGATAGTGTCCATAAACAGTACTTACTTATTGCTGTGCGTTAACTGTAGGCAAGAGTGTGGCGGTAAGAATACACTGAGATGAATGATCGCTAATATTGAAATGTCATGGTTTTCATTGAAAATCTACTGGGTTTGCATTTGATGGGAGAAAATGTTCTGTACATGCCCAGGAACAGTTAGTTTTGCATACATTAAGCTACAGATATTTTTTAGTCTATTGCTTTGATACTCACAGAATAGAGCTGTCTTTGCTTACGTTTTGATCCTTGGGAAGTAGATGGCTGCAGCCTACAAAAGTGGCCTTTGTGTCATATAAATTAGTATCAAAGTACCCTTTTTAATTTGGCAAAATAGATATTTTAAGGATAATTTACACCTTTAAGGATAATTTATTTTTGTTTTTCTTGCTATAACTAAAAGCCTATAAATCAGTAGTATCGTGGGAGTTATCTTTTGAAGTTCTACTGTATACCTTTAAATGGTTTTTCCCCTTCATAGACGGGATTCTCCAAGGAAAAATCAGATTGTTTTTGACAACAGGTCCTATGATTCATTACACAGGTATCATCCTGCTGTGACTTTGTGATTTCAGACTTTTCAATAACACGTCCAGGGTAGGGCTGAGCTTTTTCTACCTGGATTGGTAATCACCACAAGGGAGACTTTACTATAGTTTGAACATTAAAGTAGAACCCTGCTACCACTCAGTGGTTGGATTTAGACATTTACAAATGATAAAATGAAAAGTCAGATCATCTTACGGTGTTGGCAGCTTGAGCATTTTCCTTTAAAGACTGTTTTCTTCATGATTTTATGACAAGTCTTTAGAGAATGGAATTGAAGGGCCTGTGCTGGTTTGGCTAGAACGCAGGATAGTATTGTAGCCACAGATGAAGTTGCTCGTCAGTATAGTGAAGCAAGCACCTTTAACAGTCTGGCACCCAGCTTCCTGAGCACATTGTTTTTGGATTGCAAACAAACAAACAAACAAACAAAAACCCAATCCTTATAATATTAAATATACAAATCTGGGAGCTGGGCTCAGTGATCATGTCCTTAGCACATGAAATGCTTCAGTATTGAAGTTTGGTCTTCAGCACTATTCTCCACCACCTCCTAAAGGGAAGGGCAGTATAGGGCAATATCAATCTATTTTTCTTAATTGAAAACAGGCAACAATTTTTAAAAGTCTGTAGATGCTTTTTTTTTAGCAATTTGTAGAATATGATAGAAAAGAAAGGTAAATATTGCCGTATAGTTGCTATATAGGCATCTAGGAACATTCTCCTATAGTTAAGGAAAAATACATATTTAAACATCTCATAAACCCTCATGTTTTATTATAAGTTATAACAAAACCCATAATTTAAAAGCAACAGATATAAAGAGGGACATGGTATTAATATGCCTGTAATCTTGGCATTTCCGATACTGAGGCAGAGCTATGAATTAAAGGTATCCTGGACTATATAGTGAGACCTTGTCTCAGATAAATGAATGAATACATAAACAACTAAAATATATGCATTTTATCAGAAGTACAGTAATAGCTGGGCATGATAGTGCACGCCTTTAATCCCAACACTTGGGAGGCAGAGGCAGGTGGATCACTTAAGTTCAAGGCCAGCCTGGTCTACAAAGCGACCTCCAAGACAGTTAGGACTGTTACACAGAGAAACGCTGTCTTGAAAAAAAAAAAAAAAAGAAGAGGGAAAAAAAGAAATACTTTCCATAAATGTTAATATATGCCAGCCAGGTACAGTGGCATATATACCTTTAATCCCAGAACTCTGGAGACAGAGACAGGAAGGTCTTTGTTTAAACCCATCCTGATCTACATAGATCAGTGTTTCTCATCCTGTGGTTCACCACCCCTCTGGGGGTCAAACAGCCCTTTCACAGGGGTCATAGATCAGATATCCTGCATATCATATATTTACAGTATAATTCATAACAGTAGCAAAGTTACAGTTATGAAGAAGCAATAAAAATAATTTTATGGTTGGAGGTCACTACAACATGAGGAACTGTGTTAAAGGATCGCAGCATTAGGAAGATTGAGAATTACTGGCATAGAGAGTTCCGAGACTTGCAGGACTACACAGAGCCTGTCTCAAAAGAAAAGAAATACATTAATATTACATACAGCCATTTTTTAAAATGTGCATCAGGTCTGCTGAACACATGGGTTAAGTAATGCATAAAGAGGATATCTGTCCATTAGTAGTTCTGTAATTTGACTCTAGTTAAATTATTTGCTAAAATTGCTTTTATGCCACTGGAAAGCAAAATATTTGGCATATTTATTTTGTCAACTTTATTTTTCCATAAGTGTTCATATTACAGTCCAGCCTTTTTATTTCTTTCTTTGAGGGAGGCTGTTTTCAACAAAAGGTTTATTAGGAAAATCTGCTAGAACAGAGGAAAACAGTGCATATAACAAAGTCCTCTAAGTCACCTTCCTGCTCCCATACCAGGCCAGGGTAATGTTCCTTCAAAACAAAAGAAGTGGTGATTACTCTTTTCCTTCAGTATGAAAAGTTCCCCCCTTGAGTTAATTCTCGTGGTGGTGGCAGCGGTGGTGGTGGTGGTAGTGGTGGTGGTGGATTGCATGTTAGCATGAATTAAATTTTTTTAAAGTTGCATGTTTGCACAGTTGTTTATTAATTAACATTTTAAACTGTTTAACAAATGCAGATATGTTTGTATACTATAGCATATTTCTCAATTATGTAGATATTGTACCTGTTGGAATTTCAGAAATAGTCATTATCTATCTTAGGAGAAATTTACTAATTGGCCTTCTTAAATGAGAAAGATAGAAAGCAGATTAATTAATAATTTAATTCTGGAAGGCAGTGATAAATAACCTGGGTCTATAAAATGCAGTATACCAACCCTTAAGAATATATACTGTACTTGACTGTACACAGAACACTGGATATTTTGCTATGGGTCTTAGATCTTAAAACTTTAGAATTAAGTAGGGTCTTCAACAAAGAACGATGTGTCTTTATGAGAGGAAAAGCAGTTCTTTATATAAATCTGCAGTACTTAGTAAACAAAATTTCTGCAAGTTACTGTTTAAGCAGATGCCCAATGAGCTAAAATTGGATGTCTTGGTTTTGTTTCATAAAACTTTTTAAGCAATAATACGTTTTGATATTAAAGTAAATTAAGTATTTCATCTCCATAAACAATGCCTTTGGATTTGAAGTGTTACATCTTAAGAATTATGAAATATAACTTTATAGTAAGTTATGTGTGTTGGATTTTTATTCAGATAATTTGCTAATCCTGGTACTCTGCAAAATTGAAATAATGAGATTGACCAATGGTCTGTAGAATGGTTACTGTTCTAAACCAGAAAATGAAGACGTGAGCGACTGAAACTCCAGGTTCCCTCTGAGGAATTTCTCTTTGTTTCTAGGATTGGAGAGGGAACCATGACTGATTTATTTTATGTCGAAACTTATGTTTGAAATATGCCTATTCCATAGGACATTTTACTATGTAAAAATCAAATAAAAGCTAAACTTTTGAAAGTGCAGTTGTAATTGAGAGGTTCTATCTTAGAATTTCTCAGTTTTTTTCCGTTTTCTTTTTAAAACAAAGTAAATTTATGGACTTTATGGCAACATAGTGCCAATTGAATATGAGAGTATGCTTCTAACAGTCATTTTTCAACATTTTTATTTCAGTGCTTAAAAAGGAAGCAAATAAACAAAGAAATTAGGCTTACTAAACAATTTTTCCTATAAACTGAGGCTCAGAACTTATAAACTGATCTATGATAAAATATTTAAGATATTAAAGCTTTCCCTTTATTGATTTGCTTGATATTTAATACATAATATAAAGTTTCAAAAGTACCAAAAATGACTGCATTATATATAAGCCTTGGGAATTTCAACTGGCCACTTTGTCATGTCCATGGTCAACATGCCAAGTGTCACCTGGTCCAAGGGAGTACTATCTTCTATTCTCTTAAAGGAGCATCACTATATTGTCACACTTTTCAACTTTTTTCAGTAGATTAAATTGAGAAAAGTAAAAGACTTTCTGCTTCCTGTTCTAATCAGTCCTACAATTTTCACAGTTGACTTTTTAGTAAAATGTGTTTATGAAATTAAATCTGGCACTGAGGTGGCAATTTTACAGTTAGTTACTTGCAAACTCATTAAATGTTATAAATATAATTTATCTGTACTGGAAATTTCTTTTGTACAGACCCAAGTCTACACCTTCGTCACAGCCCAGTGCCAATGGAGTCCAGACAGAAGGACTCGACTATGACAGACTGAAGCAGGTTGGTACTCAGTGTGCTTCCTTTAACCGTTCTTTTTTAAAGGGGGACAGGGACCTTGCACACATACATTGTATACATGGGAATACTCCAAAAGATTACGCAGTTGCAAATATTTTAGACAAATTAAAGTAGCCATATTCATCCCTTATTGTGCATCTCAATTCTTTTCTGGTTCAGTGAGTTCCCTTTAAGTTCCAGCAGCAGTGAAGGGGACATGGTGTGCTCGTGTAATTTAAAGCTTAGCTGTAAGAACAGTAACAGTGAGCTTCCTCCTTTCTCTTCACATTAGCAAAAATAAACCAAACAAATCTGAACACATTTGATTTTGGCAAGAATATATGGGAAATGAACACTCTTGCATACTTAGGATTCCTTTTTTTCTTTTTTCGAGACAGGGTTTCTCTGTAGTTTGGAGCATACTTAAGATTTCTAAGAAGCAGTTTGGCAAAAGCAAATCTCCAAATCTTCAACTTTTGACTCCATCAGTTTTATTTGAAGTGATTTATAAACATTGATTGGTGCAAAAATAAAGGAATTTTAGCAAATTGATAACCATCAACTTCATTTGTACGTGAAAAGTTTTTTCTTTAATGAACTTTAAGAGATAATTAAAAAATCTCTGAAGTGCACAGTATAATACTCACATAATTTAAGAGAAATCAATTCCTTCCAAAAATAGCTGCTGTTTTCACCTATGAAAATTGTGGTTCTTTTTATTGTTCTTTTAACTTTGAATGTACTTTTTTTTTAAGTACATTGGTGTTTTGCCTGCAGATATATCTGTATGAGGGCATCAGATGTCCTAGAACAGGAGTTACAGACAGCTATGAGCTGCCATGTGGGTGCTGGGAATTGAACCTGAACCTCTGGAATAACAGCCAGTGCTCTTAGCCATTGAGCCATCTCTCCAACCCAAATGTACATTTTTTTTTCTTTTCTCTAGTTTTTAAGACAGACTTTCTCTGTAGCTTTGGAGTCTGGCCTCGGACTCACAGAGATTGCCTGCTTCTGCCTCCTGAGTGCTGGGGTTAAAGGCATCTTTATGTACAATTCTTGATGGAGGCTCAGAGCATCATTTAAATATGTATGTACATCTGTAACGTATATGTACATCCTACTCACACACGAAATACTAGCCACATAAACAGAGAATAGGTGATGCTGGAAAGATGGTTAGTAGGTAGGAGCGTTTACTGCTATTGCAGAGGACCCAGTTCCCTTTTTGAATATCCACATATTCTTAAAATCATACAGTTTCAGAGGATCTGATGCCCTCTTTTGGCCTGTTCGGACATCAGGTACACAGGTGGCACACATGCATGTAGGCAAAATACTCATACATGGAAAAAAATTTTAAAAATCAGTTTAAATAAAAATAAATATTTTACTTAACCTAAATATATTAAAAATGAATTCAATATGTACACAATGTTTTGACGTTTTAATGGAGTGGTTGGTTAAAATTTTTATTTAATGAATTATTTCCTATATCAGAGGCCAGAATGGGGGGTATCAGCTCCCATAGAACTAGAGTTACAAAGGGTTGTGAACAGCCATATGTGTTGAAACCAAACCTGAGTCTTCTGCAAGAGCTGGTCACCACATTATTTTCTTAATATTAAGTCTGAGATCTGATGCTTGGTTTACATTTACAGTCTGTCTCTTTTTAGACTAACTTCATGTTTGGAACTCAGCAGCTATGTATGTCTGGTGCCTGCATTGTTAGGTCCTTGAAATAGGACTTGGCAGCTCTGGTGGTTCCTAAGAGATTGCCATACTTCATATATGGTGACAAATCTGCTCAGAGCTAATTGTCCAGTAACATCTTCCTCGAAACTGATTTATACATCATCACTTCGATGGTGCCAGAGGATTGGGTCTCACAGCTATCTGAATTATACCTCTCTGAATAACAGAACTGGCTGTTTGAGTTCTAGTCTTTCCATTTCATATTAGAAGGAAGAAATATTTAAACAGAATTTACTAAGGCTAGTCCTCTACGAAATAGAATTGAAACTAGAATCAGAAGTCATGGGGTAGACCCTGGAAACAAGTGCTTCCTTGTAAGTAAGTACAAGGGTTTGATCCCTGGACACATATGAACAAGCTGGGCACGTTGGTGTGCAGTATCCTCAGCTAGCCTGACCTACTTGAGTTCCAGGCTGTCAAGAGAGTCTTAGGGGTGTTGGGAGTGTGGTCATCACATGGGCACAGACGGATGACATCCTGGACTTGTAGACTGTCCTCTGGTCGTGCACATACACACAAAAGAACTTAACCTAAATATATTTCGTGATATTTTAAGTTTTGATCTGAACAAGAAACTTCTTAGATGTCATTTCATCTCTTTGTTTCCTGGTGTTTTCTCTTGATACTTCAGGACATTTTAGATGAGATGAGAAAAGAACTGACAAAGCTGAAGGAAGAGCTTATTGATGGTGAGTACCTGGCTCTTCCAGAGGGGCTAGCCGTGACTTAGGTTGTTGGGAAGCTGCTCTCCTCCTAGAATGGGAATTCTTTGTAAAAATGAAAATAAACAGAATTTCTTTCTTTCTTTCTCTGTCTCTGTCTCTGTCTCTCTCTCTCTCTCTCTCTCTCTGTCTCTGTCTCTCTGTCTGTCTCTCTCTCGCTCTGTACCACCCACCCCACCCCACCCCACCCCCCGAGAGAGGGTTTCTCTGTGTAGCTTTGGAGCCTGTCCTGGAACTCTCTCTGTAGACCAAGCTGGTCTTGAACTCACAGAGATAAACATCATTTCTAAGTGTCAAGTTTAGTATTCGGTGGAAAGCAGTCAGGCAGATTTCTCCCTAAGACATTACTCATTGTCTTCTGTATTCAAAGGAGGACCTAGTAAATATAATCACATGTGATTCGCATCTTTGTGGTATTAAAGGTGTATGCAATGAAGATTTAAATCTTGTATCTTTTTATGACAGTTTGAACAGCCTTCTCAGGAGTAAATCATCATCTGTATCTCATTACAGCAATCAGGCAGGAACTGAGCAAGTCGAACACTGCATAGAGAAGCAAACTGAGGAGAGACAGGACTGAATCTGGAGAAAAACAAAACTTCCTACAAACAACTGTTAACACCCCCTACGATTTTTAAGCTGTGAGAAGAAACTGGATACACAGTCAGGAGGGGAAAACGCGCCAACCTCTGAAAACCTTCAGATGCAGCAACTCTGAATCAGCTGCGCCCTCCCAGCGTGCTGCTCTTGTCCTGACCTTTACTGCAGGATGAAGAATTGTGTTTGAGTTCCCAAGCAGTACTAAACCCGGCAGGCAAGAAGTATTTTCATGTCTAGGTGAAACTGCACGTTTTCCACAATCCATTGCTAAAATAAAGAAGAGAAAGGCTTAGGGGGTTTTTAAGAAGGCGCTGATGAAGCATTTAATTTAGCAAGTTCTGCTGTTGCATTGTAAACGTTTCTCTCAGGTTTGTCTTCCTATCATATTTGATATTCCACGAAGAGTTAAGATCATAAAGTATGGAACATATGGAATTGTATGTGCTTTCAAAGGGTGGTATTTATCAGAAAGGACCTACAATGTTTAGTCCCACTTGAGGAATTTTAGAATGATAGGAAGTCTTTCGGGTTAGCCTTCATGCAGTTTTGTAGTTTAAAACAAAATCCGTCCAGAATTTAAAGATTTAGATGCCTTCCTAAATTGTTACAATGCTTTACCAAATCTATGACTTATATATAACAAACAGTGGTCAAATGTAAAACATTCTATTATAGATTTACTGTAGGTTTTCAACCTTTTTTAGACTTATGCATGCGGACATTTTTATAATATAATTACAATCACCACAAAGTTAGCTTTTTTAATTACAGACAATAATGCATGTCACACTAATATGTAGTGGCCTTTTCAAGGCCTAGTCCCAGGGAAAATATTTTGTAGAATATAGGGAAGTGGGAGGATGGGGAGGAATAATTTTTTATTTAAAGTTAATTCTGCACTATCTTTTTTTTCTCAATAATCTGCATGAATTATAATGAGAAACACCTTGTGACTTTAATCGATAAACATGTTAACAAAACCAAGTACTTAATCTTTTACGTCATGTCTTCAGCTGTTTGTATGTTAACCAGCAATGTCAATGGTCTGAAGCATGATTCTGAGCTTCACAGGAGTTATGTCTCGCTGTGGAACTCAAAAGTTTGATCCCTGAATTTAGCAGTTGCTGTCACTAGGTCCCTGCAGTGCTGCAGGTGTTTGGGTACATGCTCCTGACTTTGAAGCTGCTCTTGACCTTTGCTGTGCTAAAATACAGGAAATATCAATGGTGGCAGCAATTAGGGTCACAGAAATTACCAGGTAACGGGAAACCAATGGGGAATTCTGCAGTTTTCTTTTAGTAAAATTGAAGTGAGACTTAGGTGGTAGGAAGGGTCTGATGCTGTTAGGCCCTGATGGTGTGTGTGTGTGTGTGTGTGTGTGTGTGTGTGTGTGAGAGAGAGAGAGAGAGAGAGAGAGAGAGAGAGAGAGAGAGAGAGAGAGAATGTGATGGGGATGTGTTCTACCCCTTTATGATATAATTGGCAAGGTTAAAATAAGGGATAAATCCTATTTGTTGTAATGTTAGCTGCTTTTTGGAAAATCTAGGAAATCAAAAGTTCTCCAGGCTCTCCATCACAATTTATGCTTGAGTTATTAATGTGCCATACTTGCTTTGGAATCTTTTACTAAAAAAGAAAATGGAAGAAATAACCCACTTTCATTTGCTTTCTAGATTTCAGACTTCTCAGTTTTAAAGCAAACTTGGTGATCGTGTGGTTTTCTAAACATTACAGTTCGCACTCAATACAGAGAAGTCGAATGAGGTTTTTTTTTTCCTTTGTAAGAGTTTGTTTCTGTAGAAACTTTACTTTTAGATTAAACTGTGAGGGATGAGCTATCATAGTTCAAATACACAGCTCTTTTTCTACCCATTGTTGTCATGCAGTAATAGTAAAGGCATTAATGATGTGGCAAGCTTATAAATTGTTCTCTACAAGAAATAGGCGTTTCATTTTACTGTTGAACTTGGATTATGCAGCTACTTTAATAATGTAAATGTGTACATCCCTTACAGATCTGATCAAAAATCACTCGATTTGTTGCTGAAGTGAAATAGTCTATAGTAGGTAGAGTACAGGATATAAGTGGTCCAAAGTGAGACAGAGTACTAAAGGCAAATGCTAAGTCCTAAAAGAAACTGGTTTATGCACTAAACGTTTTGTGCCTTGGTCTAATATTTAACACAATGTCTGTGTAAGATGATAAAAAAAAAAAAGAACCAGTGTTGACTCATGCTATATCCTCCATAATATTGCATTATCCCACATGGCTAAATGTATTCCTTCTTAGAAGCTTAATTGGACCATTCTATGCGTTCACTGTCATACATGACAGTCTTGTCATTGTTAGAGATTTCAGTGATTAAAATGGGAAACAGAAGCTTAGGTTATTTTCCCAAAACAGTTCCTTGAAAGCATATGATGATGATGATGATGGGTTTTGCTTTTGTGTGTTGAATGTCTTCAGCTGAGTACAGTTTAGGGACCCTTTCTAGCTACAGGAAGGCACTGCTCTCCTCAACACTGTGATCTGACCTGCGACAACTCCGTACAACACACTTTGTGAATGGCTAGCAAGTCGATAGCGAACTGACTGAATGTACAAACCTTAGTGCTGGTGCTGAGATCTCTGAAGAATAGTCGTCATGATCTCAAAGTCTGTCTAAAGACTTACAGACCTAATGTGTCAATCAGAACTAAAGATGAAACACTGATGAATGTTGAATCCTCATGCTGCAGGTGTGTTTCCTGTTTAGGTTTTTCAGTTCTCTGCTGTTTTTACCATACCTGTTTCATTTAAATTTCCTACACGCTAACTTCATTTGTGCGATTGAAATAAAATTTCAGTATATACATGTTTCTTGTTTGTGACACTTAGAAGACCTTCTGAAGTAATGTGTTAATTCTAAACCAAGTGATACTGGGTGAAAATTAGCACCTAACGAAGCCCAAGGCTTTACTGTTTACAGTTTACACATCATGCCACTGTTCTTTAAGATTTCATCAAAATCAGGAATAGTAAATATCACAAAGGGAATATGTAATGATCTCTCTGCCTTTTATTTTGAAGTAAGTGTTGTGTGTCCTTATATCTTACATTTTCTCAGCACACCTTGACACAGTGTCTTTTATAGTCAAGATGGTGAAATATGTTTTACTCCATTTTTTTGTTCTAGAACATGATCATATATTTCATGATCATATTACACAGCACAGTTCATTTTTGTTCATATAATTTGCAGATTAAAGGTTATTGCCAAGAGATTAACTTTTTAAATGTAGTAGTCTATACTATCTGTAGTGTTTTTCTACATTATATTGATCTCTTTATATTGCCTCCGTGTCTGTAAATCTCAGCATTTTTATCTATTATAAAGTATCAGTTTTGAGTTCCATTTTGAAACTATAATTTCTTCATTAGAAGTACAACAGTCTTGTATTTTTTTTTTCCTTTTACCAGACCCCCGCCTCTATCCCAAGCTGTCCTCTTTCTTTGTGAACTATGTGTTTCTGGCTTTAATCTGTAGCCGTTATGTAGCCAGTGTTGTGAGAATGCTGGCTGATTTTTCCTTGTGTCCTAACTCACATTCCTGCCTTCTCTACATATTAGTCACTTCTCATTCAGAAATGAATTAAGCAGCAGATGGTAAGCTTTTCAGTTTCCCTGACTTAGGCTACCGTCTCCTAAGTTTATCCTCTTTTCAGTGCTGCTATGAAGAACTCATGCTTTTAGGCGCAGGGCCTGTGAAGATGAGCTGCAGGACGTGTAGTTTGTTCATGTGGGCCATGAGACTTGTTTGAGCCCTTTACTATGGTCTCTGATCTTGTGGACATAACTCGCAATCCAGTATTCTGGAGACAGAAACAGGAGGATTTTGAGTTTGAGGTCAGGCTGGACTGCATAGATAGACTTAGTCTAAAACAAAACCATCAAGTCCTATGGGTCATAGCATGAAAATGATGTTGTATAAGACAGTGTAAAGGGAGTGCCTGTCCATTTATCAAGTTGTGAGAAAAAACATTTTCCTAAGACATTTTATTCTAGTTTTCACCTCCAAACTCCAGCCTATTCCTAGTAGTGCCATTTTTATTTTTAATAGAATTGGTATCTGATCATCTACCCAGAACTCTGAGAAATATAAAAGGATCCTAAGAGTTTACTGGAGTTGATACCTCTGATGTTTTGGTAAGAGCCATTTACCCGTTTCTAAGTTCAATGCTTCTTCTGAAGTCAAAACTTGCTGTATTAGCCGGGCGGTGGTGGCGCACGCCTTTAATCCCAGCACTTTAATCCCGGGAGGCAGAAGCAGGCGGATCTCTGTGAGTTCGAGACCAGCCTGGTCTACAAGAGCTAGTTCCAGGACAGGCTCCAAAACCACAGAGAAACCCTGTCTCGAAAAACAAAACAAAACAAAAAAAAAAAAAAAACTTGCTGTATTTTAAGGAGTTTAACTAAACAATTAGTCTGGTCAGTATTTTGTATGAAGACCTTGGAGACAATGTACTTAACAGGAGTTGTTTTTTGTTGAGCATACACCCATTTGACTGAGAGGCTAAAATTTGCAATCTCAAGAAAAGCCATCTATTTATGCCAAATATTCTTGGGGGTAGGGGAACTGTGATAACGGTTTTTCTCTATTGCCAATATCAGAATAGGCTGTGGATTAAATCTCATTCCCTTGTGAATTTTTTGAAGTACCAAGGTTCTCTTTAATGTCTTTGGTATGGGTGAATGCGTACATGGATGTGCAAGTAGAGACCAGTGTTGACCCTTGCCACCCACTTCTTTTGAGACCAGGTCTCTCATTGACCCTTGAGAGCTCAAATTCAGCTAGCCCCAGGGACCCTCCTGTCTCTGCCTCCACGTGCTGACCTTCCTAATTTGTGCCACTGCACCCAGCGTTTTTACATGTGTTCTGGGATCTAACTGTGCTTCCTAAGGAGGCACGTTTTCAGTTTAGCATAGCTTTCTTGCCTTGCTCCTTTTTCCTTTATATTTTAATGTTGGAAAAATGAAACAGTCCAATTTTTAAACTCTTATAGTTGATTAGAAAAGAAAGTTAAATGGTACAATATATTTATGGGATAACAGACAGGTACTTCCCATCAGTCGAGTACTAGTGAATAGTCAACTCATACAAGGAAAACTGAGCTTTTTGGCAAAAATGTAAATTTGAAAATGAAGTATGAACTGTGTTAATTTGTAAAGCAACAGTCACTGAAAGGGTTAAAAGTGACTTGGTCATGGTGACTTAAGATGATAAAAGGAATTTGCTACAGTCATTGATCGTATCCATTGAAATCTAAAGATACAGATGCACATGAGGAGCAGGGGGTTGAGAAATAACGTTTCCCTTCAGTTATAGATGCTTTCTGTTGTATAAACTCACTGAAATGTTAGCACCATGTGTGCCAGGCACCCTATGTCTCCGATGCTTGCTCATTAACATATAGGAGAGAGGAAAACGGAGGCATCCGTTAAGTGTTTGGACTGGAGATCTGTCACTGTACCCCAGTTTGAAGGTTACCAGGTACTCATCACACAGCCTCAGAAGGTTCTGGTGTAGGACCCTAGGATTCCTGGGTAATGGGAGACCTTGATCAGGGTCACAAGCATACCGCTGAGCTCATCACTAAATCCAGCCCTTTCTAAACATAAGTTAACCTGTTGTCATAGAAATTAGAGATGCCCATGTGCTTCATCAAAAAACTATTTGTAAGTGACCATTTATTGTTCCGTAAATCTGCCTTAGTCGTCTCCTTTTGACTCCAGGAAGATTTCTTTAGCAGTAGATAATAGACTCCTTTTCTAAAAAAAAAATTCTCTTAATACAGGCAGTGAATGATATTGCCAGTTGATATGCTGTTAGTGGTGGTTCTTCCAAGTAGGCTTAGAACATATGCACAGGCAGACCAGCCAGTCGGCACAAAGAAACTGGTACCCCAAAGGAAGGACGTGTGCACATATTCTAGCACTGAGATGCAGCTCTGTCGTCGTAGGAATTCACAGTGTGTATGAGGCTCTGAACTAATCCCTGGCACTGAAGAAATCAAAATGTAGTAAATGTGACACAAACCTTGTTCAAGGTATTATCTAAAAATGTCTGAAATTCAACATTCCTTACTTCTATCTACACAGGTTTTTATATGCTTCATATAGTATTAAGCGCTTATATATATATATTTTTTTTATGATTTTCAACTCCTTCTGGGTGAGACATACCAGCATAAGATTGTCATTCCACTGCCGGGTTGGAACCTGGGTGTAGGCATATTTTGGCATTTGATATTTTAACTTGTAGAATTTCCCCACGCGTTTTTACCCTCTAGTCTAAGGTCTGTCTATCTTGAGGTATAATCACAAGCCCTACCCGATGCTAAAGCCACTAGGCTTCCATTGTGTATCAGGAGAACTCAGAACTGAGCTAACTTAGCCCTTCAGAGACTGAGATGCTGCATGGTAGCATCTTTGCACTTTGCCTAGGAGAACGATCTCAGAGAAAGGTAATTGGGAAAAAAACCGTGTTAAAAATTAGTTGCCACTGGGGCGGGGGTGGGGCATTTCCAGGACTTTGCTTCTCCTAAGCTCGTCATGTCGCTTGCTGACAGTGATCCAGGCACATGCGGCCCCTGTGTGGAGTGTAGTACTCTTTCAGGTATGTCCTCTATTTCCACGTTCCTGAGGCAGGCATGGAGTTGGGGTCTTGCGTGCCATATTGCTCGTCTGTAAGGTCCCTTCTACCTCTGAAATTTAGTTGGTTTCTTCATTATTCTGCCCTCTGTAGTTGTGGTTGGTTTGTTATTTGGCTCAAGAAACAGAATTTTTTTTATGCCTATGGATGTTTTCCTGCATGTATGTCTGTGCACCACATATGTGCCTGGTGCCTTTGGAGGACAAAAGAGGGCATCAGATCTTCTGGAACTGGGGTTTTGATGCTGTGAGCCACCCTTTCGATGCTGGGGCTTCTAGAAGGAATAGAAAATGTTGTTAACTGCTGAACCATCTCTCCAACCCTCTGCTCTCTGTTCTTAAAGAGCAGCCTCTAATGTTTAAAAAGACTAGATTATGTTCAGTGAGAAACTTACATCCTGTTTATGAATAAGGAAGTATCAGTAGATGGCTATTTTGAGGTCAGAAGCGTTCTGTTAGGCACTGGTTATTGTTGGTCCATTCTGCATCATTTGTATGCTTCCATAAGATGAAATCCTGGGGACAACTTGGTGGCTTCAGTAGAGGCGTATGCTATCAGAAAGACCAGTGTTTTTTGCTGATGTCATGGGGTGGTTCTCAGACCTGTGCTCTAGTGGGCTGTCAGTGATAGACAGCCCTGGGTGCTGTCTTCATGCTTCATGACCTGCTTCTAAGCTCGCTGACTACTAAGCTGGGGAGGTTAGCAACCTCGCCATCCTTCTTTCCTGGAGAGCATGCACCTCAGCAGTGTTCTTTCTGCTTGTGTCCTGTGTACCATGTCACTGTCAGCTTGAAACAAAGAATGACACCACACTTCCCTCTCTGCTCTTTATTATATGAATCCATTCCTTCTTGGTTTCTTGTTTTTAACTCAGTCTTTACAGTTAAAGGCCAGGCGCCCCTTTGACACTGAGTTTTCTGATCCTTGGCTTGCTCTTCAGGAGAGTCTTGCTGTATGTATTGGCATTCATCTCTCATTGACAGGACTTGTTTTTCATGATGTATGTATGTGGTGGGAAGGATCGAGTTATTCTCATACATGTCAGCAAACCAGGATAGGATTTTCTTAAATTCTATCTCGAGACATCTGTAGTGGGTAGAAAATATCTCTATAATATATGTTTGTAATGGGGGGGGGGGTACTTTTGAAGAAGCCTTTCTACC